TGACATCACTAGACAGCTTTAAAAAAGCTGTCAAGACGGATCTCTTTCTGCAGGCCTTTCCAGACTAATCACCCTGGCCTTGGGTTCCTTCACTCCTGCGTTCCTCTTGTGGCCCCATCAGTTGTTGATGGATGAGGAACGCAGTAGAGGCTGATTAGGGCACCGCAACCTGTTTTAAAGGTTAAATGTAAAATGTTTTATATTGTTATGTTTTAATTTTACGCTTATTACTATTTTTAACTATGTATCATTTAATACTGTTTTAAGGTGGTGGGTTGGTTTTTCTTTTTGGGATATGTTATACGGGTTTTATTGTAAGCCGCTTGGATTGTCTGTCAATAGGCGGGATATAAATAAATATTATTATTATTATTATTATTAATTCCTTTTTTCCCCAGTTAGGGCTTTTACAGACTGCCAGAAATAATGCAGCTTGAGTCCACTTTAATTGCCTTGGCTCAGTGCTAGGGAATCATGGGAACTGTAGTTTTTTCTGAGACATTGAGCCTTCTCTGTCAGAGAGCTCTGGTGCCACAATAAACTACAGCTCCCATGATTCCCTAGCACTGAGCCAAGACAGTTAAAGTGGACTCAAACTGCATTATTTCTGGCAGTTTGTAAAGGCCCTTAGTCTCAAAGGTGCTACAAAATCTCTATATACATATTAATTCTACAGACTAACACAACTATATCTTTTAGTATTCAATTGAGATAAGGAGAGGTTTTTTTTTTTTTTTAAATAACTCTTGTTAATGTTATCAAACAATAGTATTCCAGTATCACCTCCAGATTAAGTAATCCCTCTTCAGAATAAGAAAGAATAATACCTTCAGATAAGGAACAATATTTCCATCACTGGTTCTTTTTTTAACAGAACGTCTTTTTTTATCAGGATGCTTCTTCTTGCTTCTAGAGGGATTCATACTGGCTCAAACAGGTACAACTAAAGGAAGAAGTTAGTAGGTTCAGAAACGGTAATATGATAAAGCAGCAGATTATTCTGAGGTTTCTCCCTTCTAATGCAGTCGATTCTACCCTCTTTTCTTTTGATCTGGAAGAAATGGGTGAAGACCTCCTGTTGATCTCCCAGAAGCTCTGACATCTCTCAGTTATATTGTACCTCCTTTGTGGAAATTATGGAAGGAATTATGCATTAGTATATTGTACTAGGTAACAATAAGAAAAAATAGTTTGGCAATACATAACAAAACTTTATTCTTGAAGCAAAATAATTCTGTGATTTACCCTCTACACAGTCTCCTGCAAAATACTCCTATATTGTACTACCTGAGGACTACATCCTTGTTGCAAAAACAGTACTAATCATTAGTAACTGATAGCATGGTGCCTATTCCCAGCATCAAAGCAAGTGAACAAGGGGCATCTTCATGCCAGCCTCAGGAAGTTGTTTTGAGCTATACTTCACAGCAACAGAAGGCCTAAGCAGACTGCCAGAAATAGTGCACATTAAATTGAGGCACTGCCCTGGCTCAGTGCTAGGGAATCATGAGAATTGTATTTTTTTCTGAGACATTGAGCCTTCTCTGTCAGAGAGCTCTGGTGCCACAATAAATTACAGTTCCCATGATTCCCTAGCACTGAGCCAGGGCAGTGCCTCAATTTAATGTGCACTATTTCTGGCAGTCTGCTTAGGCCCAGAGTCAGGCTTTTTGGAGTTTTAAAAATCTTAATAGAACTGTTGTTTAGCACATTTTTTTTAAAGAACCTGTTGTCCTATCTATTTTTAATGATTATTCTATTCATTCAATTTTTGCTTGAAACAAACCACATTACAGCTACATAGTAAAAATGTCATGCAATAGCAACAAGAGAGAGTTGTGTTATAGTGGTTGAAATATTGCAGTTATACCTATTAGGCAGAGTAATCCTACTTGTTAAGATAAGTAGATCTAAGGATCACAGGCCTGCAAAACTGAGGGTATTAAAAACTTTTTAAAAAATGTAAATTTCAAAGAAATAGCCATGTTAGTGCATCTCAAAAATTAAAAAAAGGGGGAAAGGGGTTGGAAACAAGGGGAGGGGGATATCCAGCAGGGCAACTTACCTACTTTAGTATGAGTTTTCGTGGATATCAATCCACACCTTCAGATGCCCTGAGAGAGCCAGCATGGGCTAGTGGTTTGAGCGTTGGACTGTGACTCTGGAGACCAGCGTTCAATTCCCTGCTTGGCCATGGAAACCCACTGGGTGACCTTGAGCAAGTCACACTCTCTCAGCCTCAAGGAGAGGCCATGGCAACCCTCCTATCAACAAATCCTGCCAAGAAAATCCCATGATAGGATCACCATAAGTTGAAAATGACATGAAGGGACACGACAACAACAGCAACACACACACACATATATAGTGGTTTCAGTTTTAAGAGATTATGGCACTAGTCTTATCGTGCTGCTATTCCACTTTTACTGCTCTGGTTGCCTCCTGTGGCATTGTGGGGTTTGTAGTTCGGTGAGGCCTAAGAGCTCTCTGGCTGGGAATTCAAAGTGCCTTTCCCTAAACTGCAAATCCCAGAATGCCACAGGAGGCAGCCAGAGGAGTTAGCCAGTGGAATAGCAGCACTGTAAGAGTGTAGTGTGGTAAACTCCTGACTACAACTCTGGAGAGGAGGGTTCGATTCCCAGCTCGGCAATGTAAACCCACTGGGAAGGCCATGGCGGCCCCCCTCTGAACAAATCTTGGCAAGAAAAAGCCCATGACAGGTTCACTTTAGGGCAGGGTGACCAGATGTCACAACCACAAAAGGAGGCCAAGGCTCCACAGAATGGGGAAAAAAACTGTAGGCCACGGCCAAATAAACTCTAGCAACACTCAGAGAAATATGCAGTAAATCCATGTTTCTTATTTCGAAATTCCTCCCGGGAGCCATCCTGGCGTTGGGTTTGGAGCGTTGGACTGTGACTCTGGAGACCAGAGTTCGATTCCCTGCTTGGCCATGGAAACCACTTGGGCAAGTCACACTGTCTCAGCCTCAGGGGAAGGCCATGGCAAACTTACTCTCAGCAAACCTTGCCAAGAAAACCCCAGGATAGGGTCTATATCCCTTCCAGGGCAGTGGATACGGAGACCCTCCCGGCCCTTCCCTCACCCCCGGTGCCCACTCACCCCTCGCGGGGAAAAGCTCCAAGTCCGACCCCGCTCCCTTCCCGCCGTCAACCTTGCCACGGTTCCGGTTTCGCTTTCAAAAAGCGCGCGAACCCAAGGAGAGGCGGGGATAGGGAGCATATCCGACTCTCATTGGTTCGTCTCCTCATCGTATGACGTTTCGCGTTCCACGGCTGCTGATTGGCTTTTGCTGCACAAAGGGCGACCGGACGCGTCATCCTTCCCCCGGACGTGTCCTACATTCCAGCTAGGCAGTTGGAAAAGATCCTCCATTTTGAAGAGTGGAAGGAAAAGGGATGGTAGTGGATAAGGAAAGAAAGCCCAAAGGAATAAATAAGTTACATGACAAATAAACATTTATTTTATAGGAAGAAAACATGGAGAAGATGTTTTATTTATGAGAAAAGGGGAAATGACACAAAAGAGAAATTAGGGAAAAAAAATAATGGATGGGGAAAGCATATAATGTAATATTTAACAGGATAATGTGTAACACATTGGTATTCCAAGATGTCAACAGGTTAGCAATATGTAATGCAATGTATATTTAAAAATGGAGACTGGTAATAAAATATGTATCATGACAAGAATGTATTTCATTTTAAGCAAGAATAAGAAGCATGAATTTATATTTCTATGAGTTTTTAAAAAACCTTTTCTATCCCCCATTTTCCTTGAATTTCCTCCATTTTGAGCCTGACTAAGCAGCATGAATGTCTATTTCTATGAGTGTTACTAGCTTTTATTTTATTTATCCTCCATTTTTTTTCTTGAATTTCCTCCATTTTGAGCAATACTAAAAAGCATGGATTTATATTTATAGTGCTATTTCTAGCTTTTATTTTGTCTCTTTGAGGTCCTACATTTTGCGGTGCCTTGTCCTCCTTTTGCAGTTAAGACATATGGTCACCCTGTCCTAAGGCAAACCTGTCATGGGGTTTTCTTGGCAAGTTTCTTCAAATGGGGTTTGCCATCCTCTGAGGCTGAGAGAGTGTGACTTGCCCAAGGTCATCAAGTGGGTTTCCATGACCATGCCAAGATTCAAACCCTGGTCTCCAGAGTCATAGTCCAACGCTCAGACCACGAAGCACACTGGTAACAGGAATCTACCATACTCTTTGTGGCCACCAGATATTGTTGTATCGCAGGTCTCATCAGTTCTAGCCAGCATAGCCAATGGATTGATTATCATGCAATATACATATAAAACTCTGAGCAAGGAAAATGCTTATAATTGTACTGTATATACCCATGTATAAGTCTAGAAATGTAGGTTGGAAAATAGACTCCAAAAACCTGAGTCGATATATCCCCAGTTCAATGTAAGTACTGTACTTTGACTCACACACACATATAACCATCCCCTGGTGAAAGGCAAGTTTAATCTGTCCTGGAAACAGTGACCCCCTTCTACTCTTTCATCCATCCAGAGCACAAATAGTTATGCCTGCTGGGATTTTGTAAGATCTTTGACATTATTTTCCTTTGCTTCAAGCTTTACATCATTCATTCTATGCCCTTAAGTTATACCCTTGACTTATTCGTGTGTCATACCAAAATCCATAATTTTGGCCCTAAAACCTGCCCTCGACTTACACATAAGGTAGACTTATAGTTGAGTATATATGGTACTTACTGTAGAATATACTTATTGAGCAACAACATCTTTCTGGTTCCAAAACAGGTTTATGGACTTCAGTTCCCAGAATCCCTGACTGTTGGCCAAGCTGGCGGGGGCTTCTGAGAATCAAAGTCCAAACCATTTGGAGGATTAAAGTTTGGGAACAATTTGCATTTCCAGTATTGCTTAATAAAAACAGCACCTACAAAGCAGCAATAGATTTATTGGACCAACCAAAATGCACAAAATACATGATGCAAGCATTTGAAGCTTCACTAGAGAGAGCTGTGTTAATTTGTTGCAGTACTGTAATGACAATAGTTTTGTGCCATATTTTGTTGCCTGAGGCAAAGCAGCAAATGATCTCCTTGTTGGTCCAAGCCAAGGTATATAACAGTACCCAATTTTACCAATGTCAAGAACACCTCTCCCTGCCCATCGATTCAAAAATGTGGCAACGGTGCTCAAAATATGCTGCCTGAAGCTGCTGCTGACTTGCCATGCCTAAAGCAGGGGTGGGAATCATCCGACCATCCTCACCATTTGCTGTTCTGGCAATGTAATAATGAGGCCAGCAATCTAACAACTTATGGATGGAAAGCCACATGATTCCCACTTCTAGTATGGGAAAGAAAATCTGAGCCATTCAATAATAGAACAAATCTATTCAAATGGAGAGGTACCCCTATGGACCATAAAACAAAGTCTGCATTGCAGTAAACCCTTTATTAGGCCACCCAAAAAGGCATGCACAAATAGAACTGGTGCCAGCTTTTGCACCAAACTTTCTTCAGCAATAAAAAGCCAAGCAGTGAGGAGCCATATGTGCATGATGTTGTTTGAGTCAGTCATCTACATATTTTCATCCCAAGTTATGAAAAGAAGTGTATCCATTTAGGCTGCTCAGGTACCACTTCCAATGGACCCTGACCTGCTGGGAATAAGAAAGACAATAAAGGAAGAGAAATAAAATTTGGTCCTCAATTTAAGAATACAGAAGATCCCTTTAAAATCTCAAACTGGTCCTGTCTGATGTGTAGCACACAATCTACTGTGCTGGAATATACTGTATTATATATTATTAGAGTGAAATTAGTTTTTGTAGGAATTTACTATGGCATAAGATTTTACTTTTCTCTTTGAAGTGTCACAAGTGCTTGCTGGGTCAGTAAGATCCAGATCTTTTAATGAATATTGTCTTTTTCACTCATTTTTTAAAAAAAGTTCCAATTTTGCAGTGCCGCTCAATCACTGGAGAGCCAGGGTGGCATAATGGTTTGTGTGTTGGACTATGACAAGTCCAGAGTTCAGTTCCCCACTTGAGCATAAAAGCCCACTGGGTGACCTTGGGTAAGTCACACATTCTCAGCCTCAGAGGATGGCAATGGCAAATCCCCTCTGAAGAAACCTGCCAAGAAAATCCCATAATAGGGTTGTCTTAGGGTCACCATAAGTCAAAAATGACTTGAAGGCACACAACAACAACAAGAAGTCCAGACATAGGGGCACTTCTCTTGTTCTGACTCATCCTCCAAGGGAAGTGAGTGACACTAGAGACGTCATATTGTTGATTCAACACCTTAAAATGGTGAATTCAGTTAATGCAAAATGCAAGTTCCTTGCTTTTCACAACTTCTGCCAGCAGATGATGCTGTAATAAACAGCTCCTACTCCTATTCCCACTTTTGCACATATCTTTCCCCAACCTCCACTGTATTTTGTCTGTCCTGCAATCTACAGTTCAAGGGAAATTTGGGGATAAATCTTAGTGAAACTAGTGAACTATATTCTGGAGACATATCTAGGGTTAGCTATGTTGGCTATATAGCAATATATTTTATGCATTTAGTTTGGCTCAATAAATGTATCACTGTTTTGTGGATTTTGGATATTACTGTACTTTGCTATACGGCCAACACAACTGCCCCAAATATGTTTCCTGGATGTGAAGTAACCACATATTACCTGCAAAAAAGAGAGAGCCAGTGGACTGGGAGTTTACTATTTGAGGTTTCTATTTCCAGCAAAGATAAAACTTTTTTTTTTTTTTTTTTTTGCTAATGGTATTTAAATTTCCTGGACTTTAAAATGCTTTATCTCCCAGTATCACATGGCCAAAAGAAGGAGTGACCTACCTATATAGATAACCCTCCATATTCAGAATACCACTGCCAACATCTTGACAAAATGCAGGCTTATGTCTAACATTGCACATTTTTTTTCTGTATCATTTTTAGCACCTTTGTCTGATGGAGAAGCCAGTGGAGCTTCGAAATGTTTTTCTTCTGTATTTTATCCATTTTGGTTGGCCCAATAAAGATATTACTGTCTTGTGGGTTTGGGATGTTACTGTACTGAACTATTTTCAGGATAGGGGATCAGAGGTGTTATCTTTCGGGGAATCATTGGTCATTTGAGTTTAAATCTGGCTAAAATGTATTTATTACCA